TTTTTTTTTTTTGCTTAATGGTAGCCTTCCTCACTTACACTGCCATCTCTTTGTGTCTCACATTTAGCCATAAAATACAAGCTGAACTTCAGAATATTAGGTGTGCTTAATTTCTCATGAAATAATAAATGGACAGGTGTCACAAATTAATTTTCAGTCAATTGTCCAATCATCTTTAAGCCTCTAAAGTTGGGGGTTCTGTATAAAAAATGTCTTGTTCCCAGACATTTTTTTGTAAAGCCCGCTAAGCTAAAGCTGGAAGTCTGTACTTCAGTCACATCCTGATAGTTTGGTTTAAAATCCACTGTGGTGGTGCGCAGAGGCAGACTTTTCCAGCGAAAATCTGCTGGGATCGTTTTGAGCCGTCAGAAAGTGTACTGTCTCTTTAAGAACCGGGAGGCGGGATTTATTTGGCAGGAAGTTAGCCGCTGCTAACAGGAAGTGGAATAATGAGGACGGATTGAGGCGCAGGAATTGGCGAACAGCAGCGAGTTCAAACATTGACCCTTATTGCCGTTGCAACAGTTCCCTCTGAAACAGGTAACGTGAACGGACTGTAATTTTAGTGCGTGTGAACGTTCATCCAGGTGTTCTTCTGCACGTCGTCTCTGTTTGCGGTGGTCTGTTTCCACGTCTCGTGGGCTCCTCGCGGCTTTGTATCGGCTCAGACAGCTCAGACATGGCTCAGTGTGCTTACATTACTGAACAGCATACCAGGGACAGACAAAAACACCAAAGCAGTACTTTATTGCAGCTCAGGTGAGGCTGGATGTGCTAAAATAGCCTCAGGGATGTGTGCTGTGGTACTGTTCCTCGGGTGTCATATATACGTCTTGTCTGCAGCTCTGAGACTGTTACAGAAGCTTTTGAAATGGGTTTCATCACACACCTGGCTGTCAACTCACCTGCGATTACCTTCAATAGTGTAATCAATAGTGAGGAAGGGTGAAACAGCAGAAGGGAAAAGAGGGCGGTACCCAGTCACCGCTCAATTTCTGTTACTGTGTAATCTAGGGTTTCTATTCATCCTTCTTGTTCCTGTGCTCACGGGTTAACGCAAAGAAACTCACCTTACTGAAGGTGTAGTATCTGTATAGTGGAGGTAAAGAAACGGTAGGATGCTCCTCATCCTCCTAATCTTCTTTACAGGTTGAACAAGCAGCCAGCCACCAGTGTATGAAGAAGAGCCGAAGGCAGCTATGGTGAGTAAAAACACTGCAGACAGTGTCTTGATCTTCTGTGTAGGTTACCCAAAACGTTCAGGAGGACCAAAGTCTGTCTAGAAGGAAGTCTAATCATCTCACAGCCACCCTGGTAACGGTTTCAGGCTCGTATTTTGGAGAGTCATATCAATTGCTGTTATTTTTAAGGCTGTTCTTGGTTCCTAACATCCTATATTTAAATTAAATTCATCCGAAAAGTACGCAAAGTTGTTGCCTTCTGTCTGTTGTTAAACTTGGACAGAGGGCGTTCATATTTGCATCTCCCGCCTCCCGGAGAAGTCACTAAATGTTTCCCTTACCTTTAAACTATCGTTACGACAGAAACAATTCATGAGCATTTAAAAACATAAAGTTGAATAATAAAGTGGTAACATGAGACAGAAGTACAAAGACGAGACAAGTGTATAAAAGTATGTTCTGCTACTACTACTGCCATCTTTATTCTCATTGATTTCAGTTTTGCGTTCTTTGAGCGCAATCTCTCGCTCTTTCTCTCTCATAGAATATTTGTATATGGGTGTCTTATTTCTTTCTCCTCTTTAATAAAAGCAAAACAATTATTTAATTAAGCTGGGACAGCTGATGTATCTTCATTGTGCTTAGTTTAGCGCTGCACATTAAAGTATTACAGGCCAAACCGGTCTTGTCACTTCTGCTTTCCTCCTCTTTGCTTCAGTCTTCAACGGTGGATCTCAAGACAAAGGAGGAGAAGGATGCAGAGCTGGACAAGCGAATTGAAGCTCTGAGGAAGAAGAATGAAGCTCTGATGAAGAGGTACCAGGTATGGAAAGATTTTACACACTAAATGTATCTTTAATACTACCATCTTGATGTTGATAACTGTCCTCACCGAAGAATGATGACATCCCCAGAATGTCTCAAAACACAACGATTCACTTCTACATAAAAGCAGCTTGTTTTACCACATTAGTCAAAGATTATACTGCATACTTGAGACAAAAGCCAAGACAAATTAGGACTGTGGTTAAAAGATATTTCAACAACTTCTTTTTTTTTTTTTTTTTTTTTACAAGTTTGCTTTAATGAACTCAAGCTTGAAATACCTTAAAATCTTAAGTGGCCTTTATAAACATTCAGTGGAGCCACTCATGCTGTGTGCGCCCCCAAAAGCCCTGTTTTGAATCAGGAAACCCTGAATAACTGTTTTTGTTTGTTTGTTTGTTTCAAACCATTTCTCTTCTGAATTTATTTATTCACGGCAAGCAGCCAACACTTTCAAGTTGAATTTGAACTCGCTGCGTTTTGATCTTATTTGCTGGGATGTTGAGGTGAGCTGATGTTTCAGGATTTACTGCTACTCGTTTCTATTTTTTAAGGAATTCTTCACTTCATGAAGCTGAATGAGCAACATGGTCTCATCAAAAGATTTGGGAGCTGTTTAATAAGTTAAATAGTTGTCATCATCTTATTTCATTAGATTTGTAGCCACTGAAATATGATGAGAAACGTTTAGAAAACCAAATTTTTCTTTTCAGGTCTCAGATAAGATACAACCACAGCTTCTCTTGAGCTTCACATGTACAGACTGAGAAATTAAAAAAAAAAAAGTGTCTGAAGGATGAAACACAATATGATCAGTTCAGAGCGATTAAAATAATTTTCTTTTTAATTGGAAAATAGATACTCTTTTCCTATAAACAAACAGTTTTTGGTTTTCCCGATATTAGCAGCTGTCCTATTCCCTTTGCGCATTGCATTGTGGGAGAAAAGTGTCCATCAGCTGCACACGGATGACTACTTGACTTAATCTTCTTACTTTTGTCGTATGAACACAGAACACACCCCAGACCTGTTTGTCTTTGGTGCGTTTCTTATTAAGCATTAGTCTCACTGGGCTCCTGCATTTATTTATTTTTTTAACAGGAAATAGAGGAAGATAAGAAGAAAGCAGAGCAAGAGGGCATTGCGGTGACTACACCTCGTAAGCCCCGCCCCCATGAGCCGAAGACGGAGAAAGAAAACTTCACTGTCACAGTCGACCTTTCTAAAGCAACAGGGGTGAGAAATCAAGTCGAACTGAACATCCTTTGTGTGGTGGTGCCGGTTCAGATTATGTTGTACTTCCATCACTATCATTTATTCACTTAATTTATGAAGCATTTTTAACCTACAACAACAGGGCCGACCAAAGTGCTGTACAGTCAAACCGAGTAAGAGATAAAAGCATCTGAAACAGGATATGTGCGTGAAGCATTTCAGACAGATAACATGGAAAATAAAGGATTTTAAAATTAATCTGTAAACTGGAAGCCAGCAAAGAGAAGCTCGCACTAGATAAAAATCAAAACAAAGTGTACTGGTGCAGATCTGGCGTCAGAACAGAAGTGTTGTGGGCAGGTGCCAGACTCTAACTGGGCCACATATGTGGAAACTTCAGTCACCATTGCACACAGCTATTTTTCTTTTTTATTGGATTTTCTGGGATTAAAAATGATTAAATATATATTTCACTTCTTTGACACAAAGTAGTGATGGGAGACGTTTATCTGTTTTTACAAATCGTGGCAGGGATTCCTACTGATTACAAATCTGTAAAGGTAATTGTCCTCTAACACTCTTCTGCTGGCACTTTGCTTTCAAAGGCCTGAAGTACTAAGCCTAGGATGGCTGGAGGGAACAGTGAAGCAGCGGGCATAAAATTAGAGCACAGCACACACTAAAAATACCCAAAGTTACCCTGTGAGAGTTCATGAGATGAGTTTTCTCTTTAACGTGTTTATCCATTCATGCAGCTCTGCTGGGCAAAAATGGGATTTTAAAAAGGCATGTTGGGTAATTGTCTTGAAACAGAGCTGAGATGATTGTACCTGCTGTACGAACATAATGTTGTTAACTGCAGATGTTTGTGCAGAATGCACTTTAGCCAGCTCATTAAAGTACCCGACCATGCTGGAGAACTATCTGTGTAATCGGTTTATCCAGCTCTTTCTGCTCGGTATGCAGATCATCTGTTTGTTAGATCTATCCTTTTCTCCTGCAGACAAACAGGATTTAAGCGTGCCTTGTGAACACAAATTGGACAAATGCCGTGGACACATTTGTCTGAAAAGGAGAAAAAACATGGATTGCATATAATGGATGGATGTAGCCATAGCGACATTGACTCTGATTTTTCTGAAGCCTGCATTTTGGCTGCCAGGATGTTGGGGGGTTGTTGTTTGTTTGTTTTTTGCTTGTTTTTGCACCAAAGGTGTCCTCCTTTGGGGTAAAAACAGTGCAGTTCTAAATGATCGGCTAAGCCTGCCAAGCTGATCATGCACCAGAAAAATGCCCAATAATTAGTAACAGAGTAATAATACTTGAATTGGCCTCATGGACACATGGGCGGTGAACTATCCAGAGACTAGATTTCATACAAACATGTTTTGCTTTTCCTGTAAAGGCTCATTTTAACACAGGGACTCACTTTAGGGTGCAGCCTCAAGTGGTCAGTAGAGGAACTGCAGGGAACTGGGAACAATATGGCAAACCACAACAACATCATGATTCTTTTAGAGCTGCATTCATGGCCCATTGGTTAAAATCAGGGTTTTTAACGCTCTGTTTTTTGGCACAACCAGTCCCCCCCCTCCTCCATTAGTCGTTTAGTTTGCCACGTTTCTAATTAGTCTCCTGTGGGCTGAAGAAGCTGGTAAGCAGATCCAGGGGGGATACAGGTGTAAGAGTGGAGTGAGCGCCTGCTGAGATCCAGATTGCCTCAGAAAAGACTACCGATCACTGCCGGCACCTAGATTTCAAACTGAAAAGGTCCTAAGACAAAAGAAAGGCCTGGAGAACAGCAGGGGGCTGCCTGCTCCACACGAGCGCCTGTCTGACTGGTTAAAGGGTTGATCTGGGCCCATTAGTCTGTTGGACCTTTTCTGAAGAGGCCTTTGACAACGTGATGAACAACTATGGCCTCTTTCTGTCTCATAACTCAGCCTCTCAGAGTTCATCATGTTGTAGCTCTTTGCATAATCCATAGCGCAGATTAGTCTTTAGTTCATGTGACATTCATTAGATTGACGAGTTTGTAACTGTAAGAGTTGAGCTGTTCCATTTCCTGGGTTGAAGATGATGTGTTGTTATAATCTTCACCCTGTTAGTCCCTTTATATCCTAAAAGTTACGGCGTGCTATTGCTTGCAATTTTTTGAAATGGTCTTGAAATATTAACATTCCTGACAATACTGAAAAAAGTAATTGCATAATAATAATATAATGTATTATATTATGAATTACCATTATTACATAATATTAATAATGTAATAATGGTGTTTGAAGGCAATGAAGGTCATTCTCCTTCTTTTCCAATGAGCTGCTGTCAAGCTATCTAATTTAAAGTGTGAATAAAATACGGCTTTATCTGACTTCTTATGAGCTCTACTGCTGATAAGTACCTTTTTAACTCAGATTTTTTTGACAAAAATCTAAATGAAAAACTTCAATTTTACACCATAAATCAACCAAACCTTTATTTTCTTTTGCCATGCGCTGTAACTCTTCTAGCACCACAAAAAATCCAAAATGTATCCAAAACAGATTTTTCCCTCACTTATAATTTATTGGTAGCCAAATATAACTAATATGATCTATAAGTTGTTATTGATCCACATTATAACAGGCTAAAATGGACACTTAGGTGTTTTGATTAGTCAAAGAATCAGGAATAAGGATGGTGTTTTTAAACTACCACATATGTCATGTTGAGCCTCCTCCAGCAGCTGACTGAAATAGTAACTAAGGTGCTGTTAAAATCACTCCGTTCACAGTGAAAGTCTGTGTGTGTGCTGCTTACAGGAGAAGAGAGTTGTGAACGAATGGAGACCGGGAACTCCTCGCGGCCGGAAGACATCAGAGGAGAGCGACAGCCACAGAGGGCAGAGTGATGGCCGCAGCCCCCCCAGGAGGACCGGGTCTGGGCGAATGAGTCGGGGAGGTCAGAGAGGAGGTGGTGGTGGAGGAGGAGGAGGAGGAGGAGGAGGTGGTGGTGGTGGTGGTGGAGGACAAGTAGGACAAGGAGTAGGAGGTGGGGGCGGAGGTCGCCAAGACAGGAGAGACTGGGAACCGAGAACACCCAGAGATGGAGAGCCTGGTGAGGCAGGAGGCCATGGACGCAGAGGAGGAAGGAGAGGAGGAGGAGGAGGAAGAGGAGGAGGAGGAGGAGGAGGAGAAGGGACACCAGGAGGAATAGACAGGAAATCCAAGGTGGGTGAGGATGAACTGTTTGAGGGAGGTTTTCACACAGGATGCAGCTGCATGATGCACGATGCAAGACACTGAAGATAATACATTTAGAGTGTGACTGTGTGGTATACATGGTAGTGCGATTACTTGAAGTCATGTATCAATGAAGTCTCATGGGGCTTAGCTTAATTTATTAACTGTTAAAGTCCATTCAGAGGTATGAGAATATGTCACATTTGTTGTCATATATTAAAAAATTCATATTAAAGTGAAATAATAAACGAAAGATGACTATCTATAGTCTATAAATGATCTATAAACCGAGCTAATCCATATCCAGTTGTGTGTCTTGTTTAAATTCGAGTGCACGACCTGTGAATGTTCAAAGCTGCTTCTGTTCTTGTGCTTTTAAGCACCGAATGTTGACTTTCAGTTTAAAACAGGAGCTGGGATGATTTCAGTGTGTAGAAAAAACATGATACAAAGAATTTACATGTGTATGTAACATCTACAAAAGTATTGCTGTAGCCACGGCACGTGTTCTAACTTTGGTCCCAGCCATTTTAATCTTTTAACACAGAAGTACTAAAACTGGGATTTTTGGGAAAATACTGCAGAATTTTTTTTATTTTGGCTCAAAAATCTGCTGCAGTTACCTCCTGGTGGAGGACTTTGTAACATGGACGATGCAGTCATTTTCCAGTATTGTTAAAACGGTTGTAACACTAACATCCTGTTCAATAATAACTCAAATGTCACAAACTTCCTGACAGGAATGGGAGGAGAAGAGACGACAGAACATTGAGAAGATGAATGAAGAAATGGAGAGGATAGCAGAGTATGAGAGAGGACAGCGGGTATGGAAGTCTGGTTTTTTCAGCTGCCATGTGTCGTAGCGGGTTTGATTTCCAGAAATGGATTTTACAGACAAGGCTCTGAAAGACAAACTATCAACATTATAATAAAACTTTTCTAACCACTTATTTTTATTTTTATTTGCTTAATATAGCAGAGATGTGTGTAAATGCATAAATTGTTGTCCGGTGAGACGGCACAGATGGATTGTTATGACTGTACACACACCAGATGTGTTTTTTTTTATCCTCTTAAATTACTATAACATAAATTTCCCATAAGATCAAGTGTTATGAAGCTAACCGTCTCTGCTTTGGTCTCACATTTAAATCGTGTGGTTCTTCTGCGCAGTATTTTTGTTTGTTTTGCTTTTTTAAAATCATTTTTAGCGAGGAACTAGCCTGAGCTGAACAGAGTCGTTCCGTTTCACAGCAGGATGGAGACAAACCGACCCGTAACTTCCTGGATGACCCGAGACGTTCAGGTCCAGCCCCGGACACGGACCGCAAGGAGGGCAGCCGGAGACATGTACGAAACTGGGGGGGACTGGACTTTGACAATGTGAAGACAGGGTCTGAGCTGGAAAAAGAGTGGACCGTGAGTACTTCTTTAAAAATGGGTTTCGGGTGGTTCTGTTTATGAGCATTACCTTTGTCTTTATTTAAACTCCTGTGGCTGAATTGTTTACTCTGACTTCTCTGCAGAGCCGGAGACCTGGTCCCAAAGGCTCTATGGATATGACGATGTCTATGACCGGCCGGGAAAGAGCAGAGTACCTGCGCTGGAAGAAGGAGCGTGAGCAGATAGATGAGGAGAGATTAGCACGCCATCGTAACGCCACAGGCCAGTGGAGACGAGAGTGGGACGCACAGAAGACGGACAACATGTAAGAGTCTTTCTTTTAAAAGTAAACTAAGATCCCGTAATTCAAACTGCAGAACAAAACGATGCCAGGAAGTCTTAAGGCAGCCTCTGCACATCAATTCATCCATCGAGTCACTTTGATAGAGCATTGAGGGGGGCCTCCTTCTCCCCAGCCACCTCCTCGAGCTTATCGGAGGCCTCTGCAGAGCTCTTAGATGAAACTGTGGCAAAGAAATGGATCAAAAACCGTTCAGAGTCTGAGAGTCGGCACAGTATTGAAGTGGAAGATGCTAACAATCTCAAGGAGAGGTGACCAGAAACCTGACAGTGACTTTGATGGAGCTTCAGAAGTCATATGCAGAGTTTAGAGACTGAGCCGGAGGGACGATCATCTCAGCAGGACTCCAGCAGAGCAGCTGGACAACCTGCTTGGACTTTATCAGATGGAATTGAAAGGAGATGCTGTGACTGTCTTTGGTTGGTCCCGCAAAAGTCCAGACTTAGAAACCCTCATTGAATATCTGTGTTGTGTAGTAGTAGTCTGTAGTGTCTGAAATAGTGCCGCTTATGTTGGGTTTACTAAAGCTCTGCTACAGAACTTTAGTGACTTTACAACGATGGAGGGGGAGGAAGAGGTGAGCACGATGGAAGGCGTCTGCTGGGATAAAGATGGCGACAGACTGACGTGGCAGAGAGGACGCTAACGTTTGATGTGTGTGTAACCCTGTGGCTGTTTTCACAGGTTCAAAGAGGACCCATATGCGGCCACTGAGGGTATCCCATCGGAGGGCGGCAGGAGAGGCAAGTACACACAGACGCACGCACACCCATCGCATGCTGTTGCACAACACAGCAGCTGACCCTCGATCCACCTCCATGCCACGGCTTCGCTCGTCTGACACGATGTCTCTCTGCTGTGTTGATGTATACACGTCAAACACCCCACTCTGTATGAGAGGCAACACAGTCGCCCTCCTGAGTAATTAAGCTCGTTATGTAAATGCTCGCCGTGTTTCCCCAGAGTCCAGATTAAGCTTGGAGTTAAGCCGCGGTCGTTCTGTTCCGAGGAGTCCGGATTTCCTTTATTGTGCTAACTGACTTGGACCAACCCGACCGAAGCTCGTGCATGTTTATTTTATTTTTCAAAGGACTGAAGACTTTATTTGACTAGGCAGAGATTTTAATGGTCTTTACTTAGTAGCAAGATAAACGATGTTTACAGAGTTGCAGTGAGTGTTTATGTCAAAACCTTATTTCACAGATAATGTTTTTGGTGTGTGTGTGGCAGACGTAGTGTAACGTGTTTGTGTGTCCTCTCTGCAGCGCGGGGGCATAACTCTCGTACAGAGCCTCGGGGCAGGGCCTCAGGTTAGACCACAGCATGGGCCTGAGTCTGAGTGTGTCTGTGTGAAGCAGCTGCACCCAAAACCAGCCTCACCCCTAACTCACATGCCCGACTCACCCTCATGATGGCGCAGCCCTTAATGGTGTTATTATGACAATCAGCTTAGTCCACTATTGATACCAGCGTTTAATTCCACTTCTTTTTAGCTCATGTTAAGACCCGGGGCCTGTAGCATTCATCTTTTTCTTATCAGGCTTCACTCCTTAAGACGAGGGAAGAGCTGACTGTAGTTACAGCTGCAGTATGCAGGGTCCAGTTATGTGAACAGGTCGTTGAATACAGGCATTCCTGCAGAAAGGTCGAGGCTTAGGTGCCCTGTTTAAAGATTATAGGACTGTTATAGTTGTATGTCATCGTTCAATGAACGTTTAGAAGCATTACAGTTGGATCTTAAGGATCTTTCTGTTATTGATTCACCAAGGAAAGATTATTATTATTATTTTAAACTAAAGTCTCTCATACTGCCTGAAATGGAAAAGCACAGGATCTCCTTTGGGAATGTTATTTTTCCAGAGAACTGATTGGTCAGTACAGTAGTTACCGTGTCCCACCTCCTTAACCTGGAGTTAAACCTGAAGTAAACATGCTTCATGTTACAGGCCCCAGAAAGTCCAAACCAAAGGCAAACTGTCTTCATTCAAGGCACTGAAATTAGGAAACTTGTGTCTAACTGTGAGAATTAAGCAACAGTAGCAAATCATGTTTTAATTTTAAATGCAGGTTAATCTTGAGTCTTTGGAAATATCCAAATACTCTGAATCTGTCTCAATTAAACCTTCAGAGACTCTGATGTAAATTCTGACTGCTCTCATCTCTAAAATCACAGACGTTGTGACAGCTCGGAGAGGTTTGCCTTTGTGTGAGCAGCTCTAATCTCTCTGTGGCTGGAAACGCTTCAGATGCTGCCGCCTGCACACACAGCGACCTCAGGATGTCCACCAGTGTTTGTGGATGGTCCTCAGTTTTTGAGCCTTGGCTTTGGCTGCGTTCATGTCTTCACTGTGATTTATCCTTCAGTCCTCTTCAGTCTTTCATCCTTTGTCTCCTCACTGATCCCTTCTTTTCGTTTGTACTTGTATCTGTCTCTTTCTGACCTTTTAATGACATCCTCTCCTCTCTCCCTGTTGAGCTCTTATCCTCCTCCCTCGTCTGAGCTTTTGGTCTCTGACCTTCTCCTCGTGTCCTCTGCTCTTCTTCCCTCTCTGAGTCTTTTTTTTTTTTTTTCTTCTTTTTCAAATTTCTTTTTTCTATTGAGGTCATTCCATAAAAAAATCAGCCACATATTAAAAATAGGGAACATGTGACCACCCCAAAAATCAGCCTTTTTTCTTTTTTTCTTCTTTCCTTTGTCTTTTAATATGCAACACATTAAAAAATTTGCCTTTAAATTGACTTTGAACATCAGTATGTGTTAATGTGCCGCTGGCCAAAACAAGCTAAAGCATGTGGAAAGTCTCCTTGATACTTGGTTGATCTTCTAACTGTGATTCTTTGTGTCAAACCCGAGTCATCAGATTGGTCCCATGATGCTGAAAGTTGGTCATAAAAAATGTTATAAAACAAACATTTTGGCTTCAGTTTGTGACACTGAAAACTCGATGTGGATTTCTCCTGAGACAAAATACTGGAAAAAATCATTTTTTCCTCCTTCATGTCTCCATTAGCTGCTCACCTAATCAACACCTTTCTTTCACCCTCTGTACAACATCTCTTTTTTCTTTCGCTCAAATTTCCAGTTGTAACTCTAAAGGAGTCCAAACGAGGTGGCTTTAAAATTTGGATGTTCTCAGTTTTACTCGTAGTATTTCCTCATCCCTCTTCTCGTCTTTATCTTAAAAACCTTTTCGTTCTCTCTTGATGCCATCAATAATAATCATAATACACATCTGGCGTCGTCCCAGAGCTCAGACGCACTCTGCTGCTGACACAGCGGGACAGCTGCTGTCACGCAAGTTATGACGTTAAGTCGCAGACCGCAGCGGAGGCGGAAGAATCGGTGGAGGCAGTTTTTATTGAAATGTTTTATTTTTAACATTATTAGATGGACTTTTACATGCCTGGATACTTTCCAACAGACAGCCAGTGGCATAAAGACATGTTAATGACACAACGTGTGCCCCCTCTCCGTTTTGAATTTGTATTTCTTACTTTAAAAAAACACTCCTGTGCCTCACTTTTGAGCAGTGATGATGAAACATCCATCACCTGCTTTCTGCTTTTTTAGATCAAACTATGAACTGCTGTGATGTTTAATTTATACTCACCATCGATGTCTCCTTAGATGACAGTAAGCGACCTCCGAAAGTGCCGACATTCGGCGACTTCCTGTCCCAGGGCAGGACCCAGGGGCCGAGGGGCGACCGGAGCAGAGGGAGGGGCCGAGGACAGAAGCAGAGCTACAGGTAAAACTTTTCTCACCATCAGCTGACAGATCCATTTACTTTACTTTTTAATGTAATTCTTCATCACAAAGCTGTTCTGCAGTGAAGAAACTGAAGTCTGAAACACTAAAATGACTTTTAAACTAGTTGTAATGTTCCTCATTTTCCTTTATAATAAACATTTTAACAGCTCTTGTTGAGAATTGCGATGGTTTTCGGTGTATTTCTCACGCTAATGCGATGTCCACTGAACCTTTTATTCTGAAACTTTTCACAGCATGCATGACAACCGCTGGGAGGGAGAGAAGGAAGAGGAGGAGAAGGAAAAGGAGAAGGAGGAGAAGGAAAAGGAGGACAAGACGAAGAAGGAAGAGAAGAGTAAAAAGAAAGATAAGGAAGAAGAGAAATCTAAACCTCCCACAGTACAGAAGGTAACGGGTTCATCTGGACTTCTATGAATAATAAAGTATCTGTCATGCTGAGCTTTACTTCAGAGAAATGGATCCTTTTTCTTTTTGTGAGGTGTGAATTTTTTTTTAGTTTCTGAAATGGGACACGAGAGCCGGTGCCTTAAATGCTCCTGCCACTCCAATCAAACATCCAAAATAAAGCATTTGTTGCAGGATTTTAAATAAATAAATCGCTAACTCTTTCTTTGTTTCCATCTTTCCTTAGGTGGAGGAGAAGAGTGGAGGAGGAGAGGATGATGATGAATGGGAGGATGCCAGTGACGATGGGGAATATGAGGAGGTGAGCGACTCGGAGCAAGACTCCAAAGGCGACGAGAAGAAGGACATCGGAAAGGAGAAGCAAGCAAAGAGCAAAGAGTCCTCCCCAAAAACTCCCAAACCTCGTTCTCGTCAGGCATCAGCAGGAAGCCCCAAAGATCAGCGGACTCCCAGGCCAAAGGTCCACATCCCGCCCCCAGCGGCCGCTCAGGAGTCCCCCGAGGGAGGCAAACCCCTCAGCCCCTTCTCCCCGCTGGACGGCCACAAGCCTGTGTCAGACTGGGGGGAGGAAATGGAGTTGCTGTCACCCAGGAGCAGCATGGGAGGCGAGAGCCCGCCGAAACCCTCCAGCGTTGATTCCAGCCCCCCACAGAAGAAGGAGGAGGAGGAGGAGGAGCAGCAGGAGGAAGAGATCAAGAGCCAAGCTGCCAGCTCTAGTGAAGCTGCCGAGTCACAGAGCGAGGAGCATGCAGGTAGAATAGTTACCCCACACTGAGACCATAACAGGGAATTATTGTAGCAATTTTCTGAAGCTGCTGCACATGTGCTATACCAGTGTTAACATCAAATAATATCCCAGGTGGCTTAAACTCAATAAATCTGATAAATAACGTGGATTTATCAGCTAATGATGCAATAACATTTTTTTGAAAACCATTTGTTAAAGTTAGCATTTGTGCAGGGCTATAAAGGGAAGAATCATTGATGCAATTTTACGTGTGTTAATGAGAAATCACAGAGGAGCTGAAATGTAGCATGAAGAGCTGTGTTAGACCCTTAGCGGAGGAGAGAAACAGCACTCCAAGAATCCTGAATGTAAACCTTACGGAGCGTTTTGCATGTCCAGAAGGAGGCCCGGGACATGCTGGAGAGATCACATCTCTCGGCTGGTTTAGGAACTACTCCCCCAGGAAGAGGGAGACAGCCTCTGGTCGACTATATAAGCGGCAGAAAATGAAGCATTTTTACTGTGTTCACAGAAGAGCCATTGAGACACTTCAGTTAATGCAAATATTAACTTAGCGCGCTTAAACTGGGGGCTTGTAAAGCTTCAAATGCTGCAGAAGCGATTGACATTGTGTCGTTATTTCTTTGCTTCGGGCACCTTTTATGTTGTTCTGAAGGCTGAACTTTTACTTTTGTGTCAAGTTGGTGAACATTTCTCCCAGTAAGTCGGCAGAAGTGTCTCAACATAGGACTTTGTGCCCATTTAAGCTCTCTGTTCTCCTACAGGAAGCCCTGCAGCATGTCTCCCTCCTGCACAGGGAGGATGCTGCTGCACCTGTGACCTGTAGTGCTCAGCGTTTCTCAGAGACCTTTAGGGATGGTTACATAACTTTATGTTATTTATGGAAAAAAACGGCTCGTTAGAAATAATTTTGACATTAAGGAAGGTCACTTTCTGGTTTTAATCTGTTAAATGGACAGCCTTCATATTTTCCCTTTGTTTCTGTCAGAGATTCAGTCAGTGAGGGGAAAATATTCACACCTCTCTCTTATTTTCTTACCTTGTCTCTTCTGATTTCTCTTTTTCTACCTCCGCCCCAACACCTCTCTGTTCTCTCCTTTTTGTTTCCTCCCCTCATCTTCACCTCTTCTCTCCATCCTCGGTGCTCAGCCGTTGCTGTTTCGTCTCCTCCGGAAAAAGCTGAAATCCAGGAGATCCAGGTGATGGTGTCAGAACCTGACTCGGCTCCTAAAGACTCACCTACTGCACTGCCATCTGACCCCGCCCCCTGTGAGGTGAAGGTGGATGAGGATACGCCTCCAGCCCTGTCACAAGGTAATAAAAAATTAATTAACCCCTCAACATAAAACGCACCAGGCTGTTTTCATCCACTGCACCCTGAACTTTTCTAGGACTCGCCCAACAGGCGTGTGTGAGAGTGTAATATCTGGACGCTGTATTAGGGCGTTAGCTGGACTTTTAGGACCTCCTACGTGTTCTGTCCACGCAGCCGCTTCACCAAAACTACACAGAGCTTTTCCGATGGTGTAAACACGTGTGAGAAATGACGGCTATGGAAAGTTGAGTCCTCTGTTGCAGATGAGCCCAGACTGATTCAGAGGAGTTTGCAAACCTTCACCAGTCTGTATGAGAGTGACTGCAGCTGTCTGCAGACGGGTTTCCTCCTGTCAGCCGACATCCTCAACCTCTGGTCACCCAGAGGTTGAGGATGCAACATCAGTGCATCAACCAGGCTACAGTTTTTCCCAGGCACATAAAAGTTGCAGTCTTATGTTTATTCTAGTGTGACTGAGACAAAAACAAAGACGTGCACTAATTAAAATGACTGGTTATTTCTGCTGCTTTAATTTATCCTAAATGAAGAACCAGAACATTAGAACCAGATTTATTTATGGTTTGTTTTTTCATTAATCTTTCATTAGTATTTAGCTTTGTGGATTTTCTCATTTAAATTCAGATTTCGTTGTTTCAAAATGTTTTTGAGGTTTATTTTTTACAAGTTTCTAGGATAATATAGAGCGACTGGAAAGACGAAGTCAATTATTAATAGTTCAGTCTTAATAAATGTCAAAGAAATGTCCTTCACATGCTGGGTGTATTGGTTTATTTTATTTAGTTAATACAACATATAATTTCAGTCATTTTACATGTTTTTTTCTAAAGCTTAGTTTCTATTATATTTAACTAAAAAGTACTTTCTTTAGAGAGTAGAAACATTACACGCTGACAGTCCTGTGGTATAGTGAGGATCAGCAAACCAGCAGCAGCTCTAATCCAGCTGCATCAGGAGGATTAATCCAGGTGCTTCTAATCTCCCGCTTGAACTAACCCAGCATCTGAAATCCTCCCGCGCCGCTTTGCAGTTCAGCTCATTTTGAGCTAAATTTTAACTGATGTTAATCTCGATTCAAGTAACGCCTCCAAAACCTGCAGAATTTTTGGGTTCTCACCCAACAACAGCTGATTAGATGCAAGCTGGGTCCTGCAGTTTATTTATCTCTAATTGATGAGACTCCACACGCTGTAAGGATTTAAAGGCTGAGTCAAGAGCACTACTGGGCAGGATTTTTACTTCATCATAGCTGCAGTTATTTTATCTTTCTTGTGACAATAAAATGGAGGAATTAATGTTGTGGATGCAATGAAAGTATAGGAAACAGGAAACCGTGCACACGTCAAAGGCGCGGAGGAGAGCGTAGCACCACGCTGAATGACACTGTGTTGCTTTTTTCTCAAGTTGCTCTGCACTTGAACATCTTTATTTCCCTCCAGATTGCCTTTGAGCATAAGCTTTTATTTCATTCTGAATCGAGCCTTGTTGCCTTTTTCTCTCCGACAGCAGACAAACCCGACTCCCCGCCCGCCCCCTCCGTCCTGGAAGCTGAACCGAGCTCGCCTGAACCTTCAGTAGAAAAAGAAGATGACGCGCCGCCTGCTGAGAGCGACGCTGCTCCGACAGCAGAAACGCAGCCGTCCTCAGAGCAGCCGTCCTCAGGTGCGGTCCTTATCACTGACTTTGAGACGGTGGCTTACTGTAAATCCCCTGCGCACCTCTAACGCCTCCTCACGCTGTGCTCCTGCTTCTTCTTTTTTTTGTGCTTTTTTTGTGATTGTGCTGGTTTTAATTTCCCTCATGGTGTGGCTCTCTCACTCTTTTTGTCTTCATTCCCTTATAAATAAATCATGACCGAGCTGTTTGGTGGCCTGACAAACCCAAAGATAGCTTTAGACGCTGCTTTTTAAAAAATCTGACCTGCAATGCTACCGCCTCCTTCCACCGATCAGGACCCACTTCCTGTTTTGAAACTCCTCCCGGCTGTCTTCCTGCTCCTCCTCTGATGGACTGAAACTTTTAACTCCACCTCCTTTGTTGGATGCACTCCCCGTGTGCTGTTCCTCCTCCTCTTCCTGTTCTTCTCCAGCATGTAAAACCTTTTGTTTTTGTTGTTTTTATGGCTGTAATGAAATTCCTGCTGCTTGATGCTCTGCCTGCATTACCAAACCTTTTACTCTGTCTCCTCCTCTTATTTTTTTTGTATTGATGTGAGCTGTTAATCATGTGATATGATCAGAGTGCATTTGCCGTCTTGCCTGTTTTGCAGTTACACTCATGGCATCTGTGGAACCAGATCATTTCAGTTAAAAACACATTTTATAAGCAATCTAATTCAAAACATTCAGACTCATAAGTATCCGTTAACGTGCTCCTCTACCCATCAGCAATCTCAGGAGGGAAATCTGAATAATTCAGGCCTCAGGCGCTGAGTTGTTGGTGAACGCTGGGAACAAATCTGGACTATAGATGGTGCACAAACAAAGAGGACATCTTGTATGTGAGCAGAGCCAAATGAGCTCCATTAAACTCTTTCAGGGTCTTCTTTGGGTAGTTTTTAGTGTAATAGCTTCGCCTTATCAGGTTTGCTCCGCGGTTTTATTTTAGACTAAAATATTGTGATAATTATTAGATTATTAGATGAATTATGTGCAAACATGCAGCTAAATCGTGCCTCTGAGAAAGATCCATGTTTAATGAATTAGTTAAATAGCTTCCACCTGTCATACACCATCAGGTCAGGGTTTTATCTTGATTCTTGCAGTACTGTATGCTCTGTGCTGATGCTCATTTGTCTGCAGCTACACATTTGTTTCTTAAGCGATCTCCAAGGGTCTGTTTAATCTCTGTAAATAGGCAAGGGGCAAGAGTTTTGTACCTTTCTTGTTTCCGTATACAATCCATTTGCAGTATGTTGGACAATAATATTTTGCAGCCTTTGGTCACGTGCAGGCAAACGTTCAGATATATTTTTATGTATTTGCATTTGTAAACGATGCTGAAATCTTGATATTTGCTTCAAAACTCGTGGAAATTGGTGTTTTTAAAATGCTCGAAGGATGAAGAAAACAGTGGGTGCATTGACAACTGAGCAGTAATATTATAAACCACAGACATGATATTTAAATCTGAGATGTCAGCAAAGGCAAAGATGATGATGTAAGAGGGGGAAAGTGGGGTAAAAAGTTTTTTTTAAATCTTATTTTAGGGCAAAGTCATCGAACGTTTTAACCAGCTTTCATCTGATTGGTCAGGTGATTCTATACATGTGTTTTTGTTTTATTTTTTTAAGTCCAAGTGTTCCCTGGAGTTAAAGTTAGGTTAGATATTGCTCTGAAATGGAAGTCCCTGGAGGCGTTTTAATTTTGAAATGAATAAACAGCCACATTTGTATTCATTTGCTTTTTAAAACCTCTGCATAAGGCCAGAATTACACAATCCGTGCATCCATACAACAAAGTTCCCATCAGCCTTACTTATAATTTGTGTTTGGTCCTAATTAATCTCCATGAATATACATGAGACAAACTCAAGTATTCTGCTGATGGGTCATGTTTGAGATGGCACAGAGTAAATACTCCCAGTCTGGGATCCAATCAGCTATTTTCTAATGCTAATAAAACCTGATTAAAAAGCTGTTGTTATTAGTTTTTCTTTTTAATAATCTGCATCCATAAACCTGCCCCGAGGACAGAAATGGAAATCTTTCCCCAGATATCAGCCGGCTGCACTGGAAGCCCAGAAAAATTGGCCACTAACTCCAGAGGCCCGATCATCAGACTATCTGGGTTCTCAGATTATATCCTAATTACCACATGCACTTGCACATGCAAGTCTAATCTGCCCAACACAGATTGGAAACTGCAGAGTCGGTGTGACTCTGGGGTGCAAATGTGGCTTTGAGCTCTGATGGTTCCTTTTTGCCATGAGTGTAGCTGAGTGCCTGCTTCAGAACTGGTTTCTGTTTATGTTGCTCATCTCTGTTTAAACCAGCAGTTCTCAGACTGTGAGGCCGACCTTTTAATTTACTAAAACTGAATCGTGGATCTCTTTTTTTCTGGTGTTGGACGTTGAAGAAAAAAGAGAACAACTGGTTTAAACTTGGTTTTCTTTTGTCTGTGTCTCTGAACAACACTGTGCTCCTTTATGCCCCTTTCCTTCATTTGTTGTGACACCCCTCATTACTGCTGGGGTTGATGGGAGCACTGAACTATAAGGCCAACCAGCCCTTATATAGGTGATAGCCCATAATATTACCGCTTCATGGTGCCGTGAGTCATGCACCGCTGGGAAGAGGAGTCACTCACCGTGGTCTGAATCAATGTTTTTCACATTTCCGTCCGTTCGTCTGTTTTTCTGCACGCTGTGGTTTAAAAGTGAGCTAAGTGGATAAACCACAGGCTGGAGGAAGTCCAGTCATTAGCACTCTCCCTGTACCCATTTATCATGTGACTGGGGTGTTATCACTTTGGCAAATGGCAAAGCTTTAAATAATAAATATTTCCTTTTCTCTGGAACTGTCATAATATGGAAACAGAGTTTGAAGTCGGCGTGAGTTGGTCTTAAATTCAGATGGCGTGATAAAAGCTAGACAGGCGATCTGTGGGCAGTTAATTGATTAATCTCATAAAGTAAAACCAGAGGAGAACCGAATAAAATGGTTCAAACTGAAGGAGGCCTGTTATGCTTTTCCTGCCGCATGTATCCTGATACGATCCGTTAATCTTAAAAATGGTCAGTTTCAAAAATTGAGTTGCTTTTTCAGGTGTCATGTGACACCATAGAAAGTATATGATCATGCTAGTCACAGAAGCTCCACCCATTTTTCTTATGCAGGCCGGCCAATCAGAAGAAAATTTCTTTAAAGGTGGTAGAAGCTAAACAGGTAAAATTAAAGCGCGAGTCATACTAAGCTTCTTTATTAAAGTCCAGAAATAAACATGGAGCTGCAAATGAGAATAGTTCCACTTGATGGAACCAAGATACCAAGGCTTTAAAATAATAATAATACCAGTGGGGCAAAAAAGTATTTAGTCAGCCACCGATTGTGCAAGTTCCCCCACCTAAAATGATGACAGAGGTCAGTAATTTGCACCAGAGGTACACTTCAACTGTGAGAGACAGAATGTGAAAAAAAAAATCCATGAATTCACATGGTAGGATTTGTAAAGAATTTATTTGTAAATCAGGGTGGAAAATAAGTATTTGGTCACCTCAAACAAGGAAAATCTCTGGCTCTCACAGACCTGTAACGTCTTCTGTAAGAAGCTTTTCTGTCCCCCACTCGTTACCTGTATGAATGGCACCTGTTTGAACTCATCATCTGTATAAAAGACACCTGTCCACAGCCTCAAACAGTCAGACTCCAAACTCCGCCATGGCCAAGACCAAAGAGCTTTCGAAGGACACCAGGAAAAGTATTGTAGACCTGCACCAGACTGGGAAGAGTGAATCTACAATAGGCAAGCAGCTTGGTGTGAAAAAATCAACTGTGGGAGCAATCATCAGAAAATGGAAGACATACAAGACCACTGATAATCTCCCTCGATCTGGGGCTCCACGCAAGATCTCATCCCGTGGGGTCAAAATGATCATGAGAACGGTGAGCAAAGATCCCAGAACCACACGGGGGGACCTGGTGAATGACCTGCAGAGAGCTGGGACCAAAGTAACAAAGGTCACCATCAGTAACACACTACAACGGCAGGGAATCAAATCCCGCAGTGCCAGACGTGTTCCGCTGCTGAAGCCAGTGCATGTCCAGGCCCGTCTGAAGTTTGCCAGAGAGCACATGGATGATACAGCAGAGGATTGGGAGAATGTCATGTGGTCAGATGAAACCAAAGTAGAACTTTTTGGTATAAACTCAACTCGTCGTGTTTGGAGGAAGAAGAATACTGAGTTGCATCCCAAGAACACCATACCTACTGTGAAGCATGGGGGTGGAAACATCATGCTATGGGGCTGTTTTTCTGCCAAGGGGACAGGACGACTGATCCGTGTTAAGGACAGAATGAATGGGGCCATGTATCGTGAGATTTTGAGCCAAAACCTCCTTCCATCAGTGAGAACTTTGAAGATGAAACGAGGCTGGGTCTTCCAACATGACAATGATCCAAAACACACCGCCCGGGCAACAAAGGAGTGGCTCCGTAAGAAGCATTTGAAAGTCCTGGAGTGGCCTAGCCAGTCTCCAGACCTCAACCCCATAGAAAATCTGTGGCGGGAGTTGAAAGTCCGTGTTGCTCGGCGACAGCCCCAAAACATCACTGCTCTCGAGAAGATCTGCATGGAGGAATGGGCCAAAATACCAGCTACTGTGTGTGCAAACCTGGTAAAGACCTATAGTAAACGTTTGACCTCTGTTATTGCCAACAAAGGTTATGTTACAAAGTATTGAGTTGTATTTTTGTTATTGACCAAATACTTATTTTCCACCCTGATTTACCAATAAATTCTTTACAAATCCTACCATGTGGATTCATGGATTTTTTTTTCACATTCTGTCTCTCACAGTTGCAGTGTACCTCTGGTGCAAATTACTGACCTCTGTCATCATTTTAGGTGGGGGAACTTGCACAATCAGTGGCTGACTAAATACTTTTTTGCCCCACTGTATGTGAACACACATATTCAACAACTTTTAATTAATCTACTCTTAATGTATAAATTAGGTTGTTGCCGCAAAGGATGATAAAAACGGCGGCCATTAAAAAAACAAAGGTGAACTGAGGTTGTTTGGACTTTTGCTGGAGCAAATTTTGACTTTTATTCTTTTATTTTCATAATTTTCTTTTTTTTAAGTGAAGATTTGTTGCTTTTCTCTGTCATTTAATACGAATAAACCATACGTTTTTGGCATTTGCAACAATTTTGACATTTTAATTTGAATTCCTCGATTCTTTTAAAATTAAATCGAAATGATTAACACAGAATATTAGTTGATAACAGCTGCTTGTGTGTTATCTTTATCCAATTAGATCTGGGCCGTTTAAAAACAGACTCCAGTAAAATTTTTACCATTTGGACTGAGTACAGCAGTTTTAAAGGATCGCTGCTTTCCTTTTGTTCTGATATAAAAATCCACAGTAGCTGCATTTACACCTCTGATGACTCATTCGTGATAAACGGCACAAGTCAGATGAGCGTGTGTGTGTGTGTTGGCGTTAGGGTGGAGATCAGGAAACCGGGGAAATTAGAGGCACAATTAAGCTTTTAAAGGCTTTTCAGAGGAAATGAGCTACAGCCTGCTGGACAGATGATAGGGCTGATACAGTGGAGTCCGTTTAAAGTCTGATTGAATTAAATCGTGTGATGTTTCTGAGGCTCCAGTGTGGAGAGGCTGAATTGCGTGAATCACTCAAGTATTGGCAAACGCCAACATTAAAACACAAAGATATTGTTGTAGCAATGTTTGCAGAACAAGTCACAGACACGACATTAAGAGGCTGTTTTGCACTCTTGGTAATGTTTATGGGTTGTTGGAAAGAGTCACATGGCCGAGTGAAACCTCCTGTCTTCTAAAATTCTCCATCCTTTAAAACCTTTTTATCTATTAATGTTATTAAAAGGTAAAACAGTCTAATGTCAGGAGGTTTTAAAGTTCTGAACCAAATGTGAAGAAACATCTGTGTGTATTGTGTTGAAGAGATATCAACTGAAGTCGAGCTGTGTTTGAGCTGTACTTTTGTGCAGTGCCATCGTGCACCACAAGGTGATGCAGTAGGTCAGTGTAGCCTTTTATTAAATTAAAATTTTAATATTTAAAGTTTAATAAAACCCGGGAGTAGGTACTAAATTGTACCAGGTGCTATGACCTAATGGAAAACCCTGAAAAGCGTGAACCATGGCGAGTCGTGCTGAGTAGGTACTAATGGAAAAGGGGCTTTTGTGTGGTTCAAAATTTGTGTTAGATGATATATGTTGATATCTTTAAAGCTAGTTTCCATTGTGACCACAACTTTATTGGCATCTGCAGCATGGGAGGGTGGTGCAGGACAGTGGCGAGGTGTGTGGTGGGAGTGACAGGTGGGCAATCATTCTCTCCGAGCCCCTCTTTGTTTGCAGTGGCAATGGACAGGCTGACAGGTGGGAGTCTCTGCA